GCTAGCTAGCTATCTCTCTATGGGTGAGACATCGTCTCTCAAAACTCCCTCCTTGCCATCCGTGCCCCTTCATTACATAAGTAACCTGAGACGTTTTCACCCACCTGTTTACGTTCACTTAATCCATAACCGACTGTATTTACGTGAGATACTCTACACGATAGACATTTGGACTGCTGTGTGTGTATTTGAGCACTGAGAACTGATTGTGCGCTGTATATGAGAACTGAAGACGTGGAGCGTGCGCGCGAGAGAGCACTTCTATCAGCGTGATTCTGCCTATCCCGCCTTCACTAACTTTAAATTAATCGACAACGAATTGTGACTCCCGGGAAAAACGGGACATCTGGTCACCTTATCCCTTCGGGTGCTGAAGCCATTGTTTCAGATAGCTAGTTCGTGTTTTTGTAGCTGTCCACTGTGGCTGCCATACTGAGACTATGCAAACGCCCCTTATCCGATTGCAATCCAATGACAGGGACGCACATTTTGAAGGAAAAGACAGTATTTTGAATGTCTGGTAGTCCTCAAATAACATTATAGTCCCGTCTCGTCTTGTTAACAAAGACACTGCATATATTTCGTCATAGTTTTTATCATCAGATATTAGTTTAGGCTCGTCAACGTCTCGTCTTAGTTACAGGAATAAAATGGAAATAAATATAGAAATAAATACGTAAATGTGGAAATAAATAAATGTAGAAATAAATAAAAGAAAAAATACATAAATGTGGAAAAATATACATAAATAAGGAAATAAAAGTGTAATGTATAAAAATACATGTTTACTTTTCTTTGTATATTTATTTATGCATTTATTTATTTCAAATTTTGTCAGGTTTGGCATTCCATAGGTAATATCCACAACTGTAACTCAACACTATGATGTAACACAATGATAATGTAACACAATGGTCCATATTACCATGCTTAATTAAAAATTTTTTTTTTTTTACATGCTATGACAAGCAAGCTATATACATTTTATATCCATTATATCCATTATAAATATATACATATTAACATACACATAATACAATGTGATTCCAGTTTGGATGTTGCTGTGTAATAGAGAAACAGCTGTTGTGTAGAAATACCTACTCTTACCACAGGAGGGCGTGTGTGTGTTTCTCGAAGTTCACTCATCTACAAAGCGTTTTTAACTCTCAGCATAGGCGTAATTTGCGGGTGGGACAGGTGGGACATGTCCCCACCACTTTTTGCCAGGGTCGATATTGTCCCTACCACTTTTTGAAAGTAATTGAAAAATATATTGCGGAAGGTAGGCTATGTATTAAAGGGAAAACAAGATCAACAAATCATTCTTCATAATCTAATTAGGGTGATAAAAAATAATAATAATTTGACTCAGCGCGGTGTCCCCACCACTTTTCAAAGCAAAGTTACGCCACTGACTCTCAGTCACATGTATTAGTCTTATGTGTCTGTTAGAAGAACGTGTGTTTTGTAATATAGTCTTTGCCCTTCACTTGCAGAAAGTGTGCACTGTCATCACTTAGACCCGTGCCCTGTGTATACAGACACACACTCTTACATAATGTAGAAGTGCTTGAGCAGTGGTGTGTCTGTGTGTGTCTGTACAGCCTGTTGCTGTGATGACTGATACATCTCTATCAGATCTGCCCTCTTAAGCAATATAATTCTCCACACCACACCAATAACATGTGCACTTTTCCATCTGGAGTTATAATCATGTGGAACATTAATTTAAAGGAACAGAAGTCAAGTTGTTTGTAGGAGCTCACTAGCTCTCTAAGAGAAAGGAAACTCTGTTTAAACAGATAAACTTGCACTCCGGATTTTAAAAATGCACTATGCAGAAAACATCACAACAACACTCATTCTCTAAATAAGTGTTTATCTGTGTGCGTTGCCATGCACTGACTCATACCACATACTGGTTATGTGGATTATCTTAGAGCTCAAGCACATTAATGATACTGGCACATAATGGTGAAGACAGTTCATACCAATAAGCTTCCAGGAGACAGACGAGGGTCAAAATAAGATCAGCTGACAACCCACCCCACCACAACTGCACATGGACACACATGCTCTTCAAGCTGATGATTAAGATGAACATGATGTTCCAATCATTCCTCTGTTTCCTAGAATCGTGTTGTAAAGATTTTTATAGACTTGGCCAAATTGTAACTAATTGTAATTATTTTGTTTATAATACGGCTTAAAAGGTGTTCATGGATGGACTATGGTTGTATGATACCCCAAAGCATTAGCTTCTTTTTTTTCTGGCATGCAGCCAAAAAAAAAACAAGCCATTGCACGTCTGCACCTTTACTTGCAATTTGTAATTAGAATTTTGAATTTATTGTAATTACTTTGTATCTAACAAATTACACCTGAATAACTAAGAATTTCTGCAATACAGTGCACAATATCATATCAATATAATCATCAATTGCGAGATGTAATGTTCCAATAATCAGAAATAAACTCCAAAGCTGAGTTTCCAAAGCTGATATATAGGGAAGAGTGTGGGGACATTTGCAGCAGCTGAAAAAACCAACAGGAGAAATAACGAGAACATGCAGGATTAAAGGATCAGTGGAGGGGTGCAGAAGCCCCCCCGTTACCACCACCAGCACCTCTCCTCCCTCTCGTCCTGTTAGTCTCTCACCCTTTTGCCCTGTTTGTTTAGCTATACATATCTAACAGCCTTCAGTGTGACACAAGCACATACTGAGAAAAATTACCATGATTACGACTGGAATAAAAGGATCGATTTTAATTTGTGCGAGGCAGAGAAATCAGTAAGAGAAATAAAGTGAGAGATAGAGGGAAACAGAGATATTGATGCATTCGAACAAGACAGTGTGTCCTCTTGATGATGACATTTTTGGCACAAAGTCACTGAACCCCGAAGCAGACAGCATGTACCAGAGTCACAGCACAGCTTCACCCTTCTGTTCTTTCTGAAGCACTCTGTTCTACTAACCAACGATTCTAATATGATTTCTTATAGACTAGATTTGTTTTTCTTCAAAAAATCCCAGCTCTCATATTGTTTATTTCAGAACTCAATTATTTAGACAATACTGTACCTTTTAACACTGTAAAAATGGCCAGGATTTGTTACAATAAAATAGTGAAATCAGTGCATTTTCTGTCAAAATATACCACTGTAAAAAAACAAAAACATCCAGACCGATAATGTTGGAACACCCATAAACTGAAGCTGAAGACTTTTAAGTGTTGCTATAAAGAACAAACTTAGAGTGGTAGAGATGCCAAAGCACTGTCCGTTCAGATCACAGCCTGACTGCCTCTTCACATTCCATTCCATCCCTCTTTTCATTTCCCATCCCACACCTGTGAGAACCAATAATGATAATACAGAACATACGCACAGTCCTTGTTTGTATGCTTTCATGATCTGTAAGTGTAAACGGACAAAAATATTCTTGTAGTCAGGGGCATTTAAAAAGTTTGACAAGTAAAAAGCTCAGAAGGCTGATTTACACTTTGATAATCGGGTTGGATTTGGCAGGAGATTCTCTTTTATGTCATGCGTCCTTTCGTGTTTACTTCATGTCTGTAAACAGAGAAAAGAAGTTCTGGATACGATGACGACAGATTATGTTACTTACTTGTTCAGATGACATATTTTTTGGATATTTGCCTTTGAGTGACTTTCTTGTTTCTGTCAGTGGGTCTTGGTCAAATTGGATTTCATATGGTGATCGTGTAGTAGGCCCAGGGGTGCCGCTATGGTTTCTGGGCCCCCTGAACAGCTGAGGCCCTCATTGGGCCCTTGGAATCGTCCTAACCTCCCCCCCTCCCCGTTACGGCGACCCTGGGTAGGCCTACCTCAAACCTTAAGACCCTTTTCACAAGACTGTGATGGCGCGTTTCAACGGTCATCAGCATCGTAAATACTCCAAAGTGACTGCTGTTATCAGTCTCTATTTTTTTATTTATTTATTTTTTTACTTTTTTTGAAAATCATGTAAACACTATCAGTATTAGTTTTTCTTTTGCTATTTGTGCAAATGGGAATGCAAAAAATATATTTGTGGTTGTCTCTCATTCACTGCTACAGAAGTTTACCTAGCTGACGACTTCTGCTGCTGAGAAACCCGGAAATGTGAAAAAGGTCCAGCGCAAACCCCATTGATATCTATAGGTAGATGCCTCATTCGACAGCTCCAAGCATGTAGACACGTCTGCCATCTTGCAACGGTCAACTTGACGTCATTCACCATAATAATCAATGAATATTTGAAGATGCCACAATCCTGCACAGCCGATGGTTGTAAAAACCGCCGAGATTTAAATTCCTATAGAAACGGGATAACCTTTCACAGGTGAGAATGCAAGAGGGGTGGAACCATAGATATAAGGATTGTGGCATCTTCGAATATTCATTGATTATTATAGTAAATGACGTCAAGTTGACCCTTCCAATATGGCGGACAGTTTATGTATAGCGGCCCATAGAAACAGTCGCTAATGAGGCATCTGCGTATACATATCTATGGCAAACCCCACCTGGCGGACTATTTCATTGGTCAAATTAATCACGCAATCATCTGTCAAGAAAATTTCGGACTTGATGAATTAAGTTCAGAATTCAGAAATGTCATGGATGGATTCGATCGTGACAAACAATATCCATCAAAATGCTACTAACTCTATACTTAAGGTTAGTAGCCTATTTGTTTTAGCCTTGTGCAGGCAATCAGAAGAACCTGTTTAGGAAAAATAAGCCATCTCCACAAGTCACATGCAATTTTATGTTTTGGCCACAGATGGCGACAGAAGCTCCGTAGTGCACCTTTAAAGAAGAAAGTATAGCCGTGCTAATAAATCGATGGTTGCTGTGGAAAAGAAGGATCTCCTTTCCTGATGAATGTTGCCATTCAGTTTCAGGAAAAATAGCACCTGTTTCTCCCAGAGTATTTCTTTCTTTCTTTCTTTCTCGTTAATAATAATAATACAAATACAAAATAAAACAAAACTTTATACTAATAAAACTTTATTGAAGTGATTAAGGTAAATAGCAAATATCAACTATCAATAAATCCAACAACAAATACCAGCTGTCAATAAATAGTGCAATTCTTATTTGTTAAATGTTTTAACAAAAATATATATTTTTCTCTTTTACTAAACAATTATTTTGCATGACCAGCCTTGATGGCATGTTAAAAACATTAACAAGAGCTCAAAAAACGAACCTATGCACATTCAATTAATGGCAAACAAACAAAATCTGCTGCATTTTAAACATGCTCAATACAAAAAAGCAAAAACTATTTACAACTCAAATTCACTATACATAGCATTATCCTTGTTGCCAAGATCATTATCAGGATCATCAGATTTCTTTTTCCCATCATGAACATCATTTCATCATTTGAGGTTTCAATGCTGTTTCACTATCCCTAAAAACCTGTTTCTACTTGCTCACACCCTCTGTTTCATTCTACCTTTTGTCTCATTATTTAAAATAGTCCATACAGTCTTTGACTCATATTTGTCTTTCTGCTTTTCAGCCTCTCTGGGCCTCCTGAGACATGGATCGGCCCAGGGCTCTGGGTGCCTTGGCAAACTCCATTCGCATGGGTTTGACAGGTGGCAGGTCCCTGGTGATCTGTTCCAATGGTCTCTTGTCTGGACAGGCTACGTCGAGAACCCGGGCGGGAGGGAGATCTTCCAGGGTGTGTGGGGCTCCGCGGCCCAGGCGGACACCCAGCTCAGCAGGCTTGAAGATGGGCAGGGGCAGGGTGTTCCTGTAGGGTAAGAGCTGGTGCTCCCTTACACCTGTGTCCACAGTGCCCACTCTGACAACACCTGATGGGCAGGCCTGATTGAGAGGACGCGCCTGCCAATAACGGGACAGGGACTCACGGTGAGAGTCGTCTGACATCAGCATCGATTGGCTGCACAGAGAAAAATTGAGAATTCTGAATGAAAGTTTTGACATTTGATTGTGTGTTTAAAATTATTTTATGCAAGCTGCACTGCAAAAACTCAATAATATTATTAATTATTACAATAATAAATATTAACAATAATATTATTATTTGTTAAGCATTTTGTAAGTAAAAATATCTACAGATGATTAAAGCCAGATTAATTGAATTTCATAAGATATAAAGATATTAAGACATGTTTTCTGAATACATTTCTTGATTTAAGTTTATTTATTTTCTTACTTCACTGGCAAAATTATTATTATTATTTTTTTTGATAAATTTATAACAATATTTTCTGAATTTATGCTTTAAACAAGAAAAATATTTGCCAAATGTAATTCAAGATATGTCATCTGAAAACATATTGTTTTTTGCAGTTTTGCTGCTCAGGTAAACTTGACTATATAAAATCAACACAAAATTAATGATTTAAATCATAATTAAAGCTATTTGCAGATGCTGAATGCTTTAAGAGAGATCCTTGACATTCAATAAATTCTAAATGAATGAATGAATGAATAATGAAATAAATACCTAAATACATACATAAAAATCTAGCTTCCATCTAGCTGTATGTGATGTATGTGAATGTCTATGCACTCACCGATCCTCCGGTCGAGTCTTCATATTGATGCTGCGCCAGTTAGCGGTGTAACTCTCTTTCTTAGTTGGATTTTCCTCCTTCACACTGCAGCTGAGCTCAGCTCTAACCACACATCCTCCTTTCTTCTCCAGGACTGTGCACATCTGCATCTTTAACTTCTGTTTGTGAGCGGCTTAAAAACTTAAATGACAGTCAATGATCTTACTAAGATCCTTTGGTCAATACTGTTTTGAAGATTTGTAGTTTTCTTTTTTTTCTCTTTTCTTTTCCTGGTTGAGTTTGAGGGAGGACTCGTCTGTCTGTCTGTCTCTTGCTCTGTCTGGATGTCTGTCTGCCAGAGTGTGTCAGACTTTTATACAGCTCTGCTGCTATTTCTGTCTGATGGAATCACTCCATACTTTGTCTACAATGACACTTGACACTCACACACACACACACACACACACACTGTAGCACAGCACTGGGACATGTATATAAGACACAAGAAATCCCCAGCAACTAACTAACTATCCATCTATCTATCTATCTATCTATCCACTTGTAATGTAAGGTCTATAATAAGATTTGTCTTAAAATCTTTCCTTTCTAGTTATTATCTAAATGGATTCTGTTGCTGAAGCTCAAATGCTTGATCACATTGTATCATCATGACATTTATTCCTCTATGGGCCTATTAACAGACATCAAAAGTCTTTCAATGGAAACTAAACAGTGTTCAGATCTGGAACCAGACAGATTATAAACATGTGGCAACTGTTCTGTACTGGTAATCTTCTTTTACACACATAATCTCTTTCAAAAACATTGTTTAAATGAATTATTGCATAAAAAAAGACTACTACACTGCTGTTTTTAAATTTGTTTATTTATTTATTTATTGCTGGAGATTAAACATATGTAGTTGGAAAGATGCAGAAAACTAACACTGGTTACTGAACTTAAAATATTTCAATAAGTAACTTTTTATAGTTTTTTTCTGAAACAACCATTATAAAATATAGTTAATACGGAAAAGCATGGTCATAGCATGTGGTCAGTGACAAACCAAGTGAGCGCTGGTGCTGTATTCACTCATCAGTTGAATATAGTGCTGTGTGGACAGAGGTTATGGACAGTCATATTCTCATGTTACACATACATTCTGTCCCCTGTCTGTCACTGACTGCTCTCTCAGTGACGCACTGAGCGATTACAGGAACTGATCTCATTCTTGTGCCATCCCTCTTCTGCAATGTGGCCACTCAGCACACTATGGTATGAAAATGTAGTGTCATGTAGAGTTACACAAGCATGAGAACCAGGAAATGTCACATCACTCCAGTAATGAAGCTGCTCCTGTAGATTATGACATGCACGCTAAATTTGTTTCCTTCCATGCATATTCATACAGTAGCCACAAAATGTATTTGGATGTTTAAGCAAGACTTAAATATAAATAAATGTCATTGCATTACATTAGAAATGATCGAAGTTACATTTATTTTAAAACACAGTGCATTTTAAGCATGGTTCAAGAAAAAAATAAATAAAAAGAAAAAATTTGAATTTTTATAAGGTAGTATACAGTAGTACACAATTAGACATTTTTATAAGGTAGCATACAGTGTCACTGAAAAGTAGTGTAAATACTTTTCAGGGACACAGCATACTACCCTATAAAAATGTTCACAGAATCAAAATTTTAATTCATAAATTGCAATAATTTATGTTTATTATTCTATTTTTTTCTCTCTAAACATCCTAAAAGCATATAGTTTGTATATTAATAAATATTTTTTTTTTTATAATAATATACTATTAATAAACAAATATAGGCCTATATTATTATTATTATTATTGTTATTTACAAACAAGAAACAAGAATAGGCAACTATGTCCATCAGTCAATATCTTTTATTGTCAGCTATATCAGACATCTTACCAGACAAGCAACATTCAAGACAGGACAAAATACACTGAGCCATTTTAACCTAGTGATTCAGTTAATGGACAGTCGCCACATCAAAGAAATTTACAATATTTTGTATCCCAGCTCCATAACTGCACATGCACATTATAGAAGAACACATCTGATACATCACCTATATAACATGTTGATTGTATTGTAGCTTTCCTTTTTTAGGAGTTTCAACAAGAAATAAAATAAGAGAATAAAAGTTTCTGGATTCAGAAAACAATGTCACTTCCTAAACAGAGAAAGGATGCATGTTATTCTGCAACACCTCTAAATGCAAAATACACAATTAATATTATTATTTTTGACAGTAATTTTGGTAATAAATTTATAAAGATATTTTGTGTACTTGATTATATTACTTCTTTGTCATTAAATAACAATATGCTAGTTTTATATATTCAGGTACATAATTATGAAAATTTTGTCATAACTTAATTTAAAATTAAATTAAAATGTAATGCACAATGCTGCTGCTCTAGAGCAAGATTTATTACAGTAACTATGATCCCAAAAAAATAATTGAAATGATAAAAAAAAGATTTCCTGAGAACAATACTAGGTGTGCTACAAAGGAACCCATTAGCATACATAATTATGAATAATATTTCCACAAGTGACAGACCATTATAATGTCATGACCAATTTGCCTTGAAGATTTGGCAAATTAGCATTGAAATGAAGTCTATTAGTCTGTTCTTCCGAGCATAATTGTGTGGTATTGGCTGGATTTGTCTTGTTAGTCATTAGTACTAATTTGCCATATTTAGACAATGTGCTAATTTTAATGCTCAGGGGCTCTGCCTCATTTTTGTTCACATTTTTAGTGAAGCATAAAGTATTAGTATGCAGCTGAGTTAGCCTGGCCATTTTCCCTCTCAAAAACGCTCTTCAAAGTCCTGTGAATTTTAATGTTGCACCACATTGTGTTTACATTCGTGATTAAAAGACAATGTTAAGGTCATTATGTCTAGATCACTGTCATAAAAATGTAAACGTTACCATCATGAAAATGACATGCACAGTGGCCCTAAATCATATGTGGACTCTTAAGTCACACTTTAAAATGCATGAACTGACTCAGAGGTGATTTTAGCTTAAGTCGTTTCTCCTCAAGTTCACACAGGTGTCCTAGTAGAGTAACTACAGGTGTTTGTCATTTAAAGGTGTGGTAACATCAAAGACTATAGAATACCCAAGATGTGTCACTCATATAGTTTTGAATGGAGAAAAATGCAATGCTCAATATGACCGCTCCATCGAAGGAAGCTCCGCCTTCTGTGTAAAAGAGCCAAGCGATAATCGGTAAAGTCATCTGTCATTGCAGCTGCCGTTAGAAGTTCCGGTTGCTATAGAAACAGTCAGCGTTCTGAGACGTGCGCTTAGGACTGCGCATGCACACTGGCTGGTCAAGCCTGAAAAATACGCTTTTTTTTTAACACTATTTGAGCAAAAACAACAACAACATTTAATAGACAGTTGTCAGATTTCATTGGTGATTTCAAACATGAAATCTAATCGTAAGCTTGGTGAACAGTTTTGGAGAACTTGATGTTTCCCCATTCAAAGAGATAGAAGTTGTACTTGCATGCAGAGGCGTTTCAAAGATGGCCGCCGAGTGAAATTACTTGTCTTAAAGGGACTTTGGTAATATTCGCTGCTGTTCTGAGATTTTTCATGGGCTAAATTGAGTCATTTTAAAAGGAATCCACGCGATCTGGAGATTCACGCGATAAATTTCTCCCGTAGGTTTTGCATCGGGTTCAAGTTTGTCACGCGAATTTGTCTGTTGACAACCAGAAAACTTACTGGTTTGAAAGTGGTTCCTGTGTGTTCGGCTGTGCTTTTGCTGCACTATTGCCAGCAGACCCCCCCGTTACATCTGTTAGGGGAGGAGCCACTCAAATGTTTGCAGCAGCAGCCCCTCGGTCCCACCCAATTCTCTCCTAGTTTTTGCTAGCAGTTCAATTTTACCTATTGTTCTTAATTGACCAGAACAAATAGAAATGATAACAATTGGTAAATCTGATAAAAGACAGACAAATTCATCCAAATAAAATAAATTGTTTTATATATTTCAAAAATACAAATGTTTCAAAAATATAAAGAAATTTGGCTCCAAACAATCCAACTGAACAGCAGTGCTCAATGTACATACTGTACACATACAGTAGGATTGCAGAACTTGTCCTGAGCATGCATGTCAAGCTGTGTGTGTGTGCGTGTGTGTGTGTGTGAGAGAGAGAGTACACATTTCAGCTTATGAATGGTGTTTTGTGTTGTGTTTATTGCACATTTTGATGCCTTGATGACAGGGGTAGGGGCAAGGGTCAAGGCCAGCCATTTTCGCCTTCATGATGGATGATAGCGTCCTGTCCAGAGCCAAACTGCTACTAGTTTTAGTTTTGTTCAAACCCGTCATGGAGAACACTCTCTCTGCATATGCATTTGATTGGGGAAGCCACAGTGCTTTAAGTGGGAGCCCCCTACCCCTGTCATCAAGGCATTAAAATGTGCAACAAACACTTACAACAGAAAGAAAGAACATTCATTAGATTAAATATGTACTCTCTCTCTCTCACAAACACACACGCACACACACACCACAGCTTGACATATGCTCAGGACAAGTTCCGCAATCCTACTGTATGTGTACAGTATGTACATTGAGCACTGCAGTTCAGTTGGCTCGTTTGAGGCCAAATTTCTTTTTATTTTTGATACATTTGTATTTTTGAAATATATAAAACAATTTATTTTATTTGGATGAATTTGACTATCTTTTATCAGATTTACCAATTATCTTTGATCACAGGCAAGTGATTTCGTCCAGGAATTGTAAAATCAAAATGCTAAAAAAAAAACAAAACAAGGGGCTACGTAGGCCTATAGCATTCACTGGATCTTGACCTTGCAACTTACACTCAGAGTGTGTGCGTATCCATGTTGCCTAGTAACGAACATGCTTGCAGCAGGATCATGTAATTTAGGCGGAAATAACAAAATACTTTTTTGATACAATTTCTGATTGGCTGGTAGGTGTCATTTAACTCTGTATAACTCGAGACTGCCATGAACTTTAATTGTTAATTAATTGTATATAGCGGGACATGTTATCCCTTACTTCTTACAGCATGAGAAATACAAGGTGTGGCGTGTGAACTGGTTGAAATGAGTGTCTTGCAGTGAATGCGTGAGGCTTGAGAGCCCTGTATGCTATTTAAGCTTTGCTTAAGTGTCCAAATACTGTTTGGGGCCACTGTATATATGGAATGTTGCCTTTCTGTAAAGAAACAGACCTTAAACCTTAAATAACTTATTCATAGCTGCACGTAATCATAGCTGCACAAAAAAAAAACAACAACAACAAAAATCCACTTTAAGTATTTTCAATATTTTTTCATTCTCTGTATTACCATTCAGTTTCTCTCTTGGTACGTTCTATGCCAACAATGCAGAGACTGATTTAATCCCAGACCTGATATTGTTAAAAATGATCTTTTAAGATCCTTGGACATTGACAAAATGGCAGCAGAGAGCTATCAATGCAGTATCTGTTCTAGGTTAAGGGTTAACGAAATCTTCCACCTGTAGCACCTACACTTTATCAACATAGACACTGTGGTCTTTAGTAGCATTTAGTTTGGTCAGGTTTTGTCACATGTGTGGCCAATATTAAGCTAGTTAGTTTCTATGACTATTTCAGGGACAAAGTTCCATCAGTTTAGTTTAGATTTCTTTTCACAAATCTTGATCAAGTGTACTAAACCAATCAGTGAAGTCTTATATTTTATAACGGACACCATCCACTGTAGACCAATCAGTTTGATCATTCCCAAACCCATAAGCCCAAAACTGAAGGCAAAAAAAAAAAAAAAACTTTCTAGAGATCTTGTGCCACAGTCTCTGCAAAATATATTTTATTATAGACTTAATGAAACGCTCATTATTCATGTATCGTCACCAAAAGTTAAATCAACAAGGGGTTCCTATAGCACCAAACAACCCCCTGAATTCCTGTCAGCCTGCTTTGATCCCCATATTTTACCCCAAGTACCCAAAATAAGTTCCTGTTTGTCCTTTTCACCTCAATTTTTTTGTTTTCCCCATGTAACCCAGTCAGCCTAGCTGGTTAAGGCTGTTGTGTACATCCTTATACTTGACCTTAGTTGTCTTGGTTCTGGTATCCACCAGAGCCGTCATAATTAGCCTCCATGTCAGCGTTGTATCCAGTGTACTCTGTGGCTGCAGCAGGCGCTCCTGCGGGATCTTGGCTGGGATCAGTATAGTCCTGAGAGAAGAGAGATGAACTCGCGCCTAACTTGTACCTCTGGAATGCGAAAAAAGCTTGACCAGCCTTTAGGAAAATGAAGATGCCAGGAGGAGGTTTAGAGGGTGGGATCAGGGGGAATTGCAATCAATATTAAAGGATTATGGCAACAGGAGAGGAGGAAATTTCAGTTTTGATGGCGAATAGTGCATAAAATGGTATCAGTTAAGGAAATCAGGTAAGAATTAAATGAAAGGAGTTGATGAGAAAGACAGGACGGGACAGAGAGGGAGAAAAAAAAACAGAGAAAAGCATTAGTTTGATTAAGATAAAAGATTTAGATGGTTAGTCAGCTTTAAGCTTAACGGAGTCCTGAATACATTTGAAGCTTTAAACTTTTAAACCAAACTATTTAAACAAAGACTTATAAACCTAAATCCAAAACAAAACATAAAACCAGAACTTGAGTCAAACTTAAGACAATTTAATCAAACAACATCTGCCAGTATACATTATAAGATCTATCACAGGATAAATATTCATTAAAAATGTTAAGCAACAAGAGCAGCTCAACTGTAAACAAATTGTTTAAAATAAGATCATGAAATGCCATGACAACAATAGAGGTGAATGAGCATGTAACGCAAGTCGGTCAATGTATCAGGCCACAAATCCTGTAGACAATCTTGAAGAATGTTACAAAACAATTCTGTAAAGAGCTCAGCTGAACGTTACATGTGCAACTGGTGCCCCCTAGTCAATTAAAACTGTAACTGCAATTTTAAAAACAATCATTTAGTCAGGAAAAGCATTGATTTTCTGGCACACAAACTACCGTTCAAAAGTTTGGGGTTGGGAAGATTTGTTAATGTTTTTGAAGGAAGTCTCTTATGCTCGCCAAGGCTGCATTTATTTGATCAAAAATATAGTAAAACAGTAATATTGTGAAATATTATTACAATTTAAAATAACTGTTTTCTATCTTGTATATATTTTTAAATGTAATCTATTCCTGTGATGCAAAGCTGGATTTTCAGCATCATTACTCCAGTCTTCAGTGTCACGTGATCTTTTAGAAAGCAGTCTAATATGCTGATGCTAATTTGCTGATCAAGAAATATTTCTTATTATTATCTATGTTGAAAACAGTTGTGCTGCTTAATATTTTTGTGAAAGCTGTGATACATTTTATTCAGCATTCATTGATGTATAGAAAGTTCAAATTGACAGCATTTATTTGTAATAGAAATATTTCCTAACATTATAAATGAATTCACTTCCATGTTTGGGTAATTCAATGCCTCCTTGCTGAAAAAAGTATTAATTTCTTTCAAAAAATCTTACTGAACCCACATTTTTGAAAAGTAGTGTACCTTTAACCCCGATCTTTACTTGTATGATAAACGCTGGAATAGACTGAAAGGTGAAAATCAGATCATCTTACTGTAGATCATGTTGTCATAATTTCATTATTCCAAGATATATGTAATATGTTATTTAAAACTCTTCCCAGTTCGCACAAGGAAGTTCGGGGCTTGATATGGCACTGTAATAAAAAAACAAAAAACAAACAAAAAAACATATATCATATCAAAAAACATCACATCTTCATTAGTACCCATGATTGTAAGATTTTTTAAGGGGTGATTCTGTAGTTGATGTCTATGGCATAGTAAACAAATAAGTATGTGTGGGGTAAATGTTAGACAAATGGAGGTGGCGTATGAGGGGTGAACAGTTTGTCATATTCCTCTTCAAAGGAGACTTTCTTTAGACGCTCCAGGGCCAGCAGCGTAAGAACACCCTAAAGAAAAACAGATTGACCAGAGCCAACGATCAACAGAAAGAATGATGGGGAAAACATTTCAACAACACTGGGTTAATCTTATCAATGCAGCTGGGTGGTTTCTGAAAGAGAAGTGCTTTGAGGAATTAGAGGTTAGAAGGAAATCTGCAAACAGAGAAGCAAAGATTACTGGGCTAAATAAGTAAATTCTCTGGAAAAGAAGCTAGAGAGCAAAGTACAGAAAGAAGATTAGTGAATGAAGCCATGTGGATCAGATGCACAGGCCATGTAGAGTGGTTGATGTTCACAGGTCTATTATTGAGAAGAAAGCATGACATGCAAGTAATCTTAATAAAATGTAATTATTAGATGAAAAACTTAAAATACTTAAATGAAGATTAGAAATATTACCTTGGCAACTAACTAAAACAAGTTTAAGTACAAAAAAAAAATGTTAGAAACTATAATTAAAGTCCCCATGAAATCTAAATTAAAGTTTTTTGGGTGTTAGTATCAATATGTTAGTCTTAAGGTTATCTATAAGGCAGTGTGCTCCAAAACAGTGACACAATTCGCATTTAGAAGATTTAAGCATTCAAAGCTTGCAGTTCGTCACTTCCGCCAAAACAGCTCAACGTCACATACAGGGAACGATATCCACTGAGGAAAAAAATAAGTCTGGTTTCACGCTAACCACCGCACCGCACACACACTCTGCTCCGGTCCAGAGACACGATAGCACGGAGCGGGTCGGCGCAGACCACAAAATGTATCGGAGCTATTTGAATTCTACACAGAATACTATACATTATAGCAATATGGATGAGATTGTGGCTGGCATACCCTAAATGCGGCTTTACGGAGCTCAACAGCTCTGAATGGCTCTGGCCCAAGCTGTGATATAAACGAACGCTACTGGCTATTTTAAAAAGGGGCGGGGCTGCTTGATATGTCCCGCCCTGTCTTCCTGTTTCAGTTAAA